CCCCCCCCCCCCCCCATCCAGACCCTCTTGAACTGTGTATTCATGAACTTTTAACCACAGAATTCTTTCAGTTTTATTCTTTATCACACTAAAAAAAAATCGAAAATGTTGTAAATTTCCCGTCTGTGCTTTATCGTGGACGAAGGGAGTTGGATTGACTGCGGCAGAACTAACTCGTTCATGTCTGGTAATAATTGGAAATATTTGGATAGACCTAGTTAAGACGATCGACGAGCGAGGAGAGATTAACGGCTGTATTCGCAGGTCATTAGACTAAACTTGTTCATGGTAGTGAACCTTAGACTAAGGTGGTCAGGATGGAAAGTCAATTTTACACCTATTCAGGTATCACCGACGGAGAGCTGTGCCTAAGAAGTCATTCATATTAAACAAAATAAAAGAGTGCAGCATTCTATGCCAACTTCTTTATCACAATGAAAATCATAATTATAGCTCTTAGTTTGTTGTCTTTTTAGTCTCGCTTGCGTAAGCAGCGAGACTCATAATCTGCAACACGTTTTCTTCGTATTTAGGACACAAAAGGGGAGTCATTGTGCCAGGCGTTCCTAGCAGAGACCGTGGAAACTGGGAATAAGAATCGTTGCGTGATCGAAACCACGCATGATTTGCGAAGAAAGAAATTTAGAGCTTTTCCGATACGTGTCAGTCCACGAATTCTATCGTTTCAAAGCGTTGATTACTTTGGAACAAGTGAACACTACTGAGTGGTCGGAAAAAAAAATAAGAATCTTAATTAACAAAACCGCGATGTTCAGGTGTCAGTAAATTTTCCTTGTATACAAATGGGTCTTGTGATGGGCATGCGGTTTATTTGCGGCGAGGATTGAAATGAAGTGCCATGTAAATCACTTCTTTGATCTCTGGCAATGATGTCATTTCTCTGGAATCGAGACCCTTGAATTTTCGTGTATTTATACACTAGTATAGCCTGCGACCGCAGACGTATTTCGGGTCGTCGCTAACACGCGTACTAAATCAATTCAGAAACAAATTAAAAAGGATCGACGACGATAAAGTAGGAAGTAAAAAACCTTTAGCGAATCCTGTTTCGTGTAAAGTTAATCGCCTCCTTATTTCTTGATCTAATCTCCAAGCAAGCGAGACTGAAATGAACGCCGCTGTAAAAGTGTTCTTGTTTGGTATATTCTTTTTCAAGGGTTAGCCAAGCCATACCTAGATTTCTCTATTAGGAGCCTAATTCTAATTTACTGACGAGCGTCCACATCACATTCACAGGAGACTCGTCCCTCCGAGCAGTCTGGATACATTGTCCATGAAAGAGAGAGTATTTTTAAGAGCCAATTAAAGTTTTATGTATGTACCGAAGAATGTGCCCATAAAACCTCTGAATGAGATTGTCAAGTTAAATTCCCGTTATTGCAAAGTAGTTATTGCCTAGCAAATATTTGAAGTGGTCTTAATAAAAATCAACGCGTTTAATGAAAGCTCTCTATCAAACTTCCGCAATATTGGGGGTCATTTGTCCTCTTATCACTTGTGCATCATTTTACTACTGTAAATCCTCCATTAACCCTTCTCTCTCAAATAAGCCCCCCCCCAACCCACGGCCGTAAGCCACTAGACCCCTCCCCCCCCCCCACCCCCCCTTCCCCACCCTCCCCGCGCCTCCCCCCTCCTTCTACCTTCTTTTCTACAATCAACTTCGACCCACTACACAGTCCTATAGCCTCACTTGCGCTCAACTATCTTGACGTCATT